TGCTAGTTTCCCGTGCACCGTCTGTGTGTGTGCTGTACGTATTTGTGCGCGTTGTAATTTAGGACGATGCCTGGGATCGTCAAAACCAGGGCCACAAACCTCTGACAAAGTTGCCTGAACACGAACAAAAACTGTGGAGTTGACCCGTGAACATCGGTTTTTGGGTCTAAGTATCTAGTCATGGCCCCAGAACGTCCATCTTTCTGTTCTAGCAAATTTGACACGTGTGTGTACCGGGGGCGTGTTTGCTGGCAGGCCTACGCCACGTACGCGTGTGAACTTTCGAGTTTCCTGATTTCTTCTTTGGGATCACTCCAGGCTCGTGAATGCGCAACACGATTGCAAGGTTTTCGGGCTTCAATCAGCTCAACAAAATTGAAGCTCAGTCGGCTCTCTTAAGTGCGTGCACGCTGCCCTTGCCACTCGTCCACTTAAGAGCAATAAACTCCTCCGGAATCATATATATGACATGTAGAGCTTAAGGCCAGACCTGTCACCTTGTGAGGTTCGCCCCTTCACTGGAAGGATCTTCAGAATGACACACCCATCAAAGAACAAAAAATGGCACAAACTTGCGTGAGACGCCGAACGGTCTTGCAGTTGGGCGCGGTGCCTTGTTGTTTCTTGCGGTGCTCACCAGCTCTGTTCGCCTCATCTCAGGCTGATGACCACCATGACTCCGCCGCCAAAACTCTAAGTGCCTTGCCAATATCACGCGCATTGGTGTGGGGCAAGCGCTTGAGGCGTTCCCACTTCAGTCAACTCAAGAGGCGCACACAGTGTAAGCTATTATGGCCCATAGACATCAGCAAAATTGTAGCCTGTCTGCGTGCAGTCTTTCAACTTCTTGTTTGACTTGATCCACAGGATGTTACTCTCTTTGCTGAATCGAAAACTCTTGAAGCGGACAGTGATACGGACATGCTGATTGTTTGGCACACCAGGGCCGGCGTTGTCAAACCCCCATCCTGACAAGTGGTCGATCAAGATTGGTTCGCAAGTGTCGATAAGGACCTCGGCTTGGACATCTATGCCTCTTGGCGCATACATGTAAAAAGCGCAAGGCCTCGACTTCCCTTTGGCATTGCTGCTTGCATGAGCGCCAGGGTCGAACTCAAAGAGGCATGTTTGCCCTGCCACCTCGAAGGACGGAGATGAAATCCATTGCTGCCCGCTGGTTTTCCGAAGTTCAATCCTTGCCGCACTGATGGTCCAAAACACTTCCGACGTTCGGCAGGATCTAATCTCGTCCTGCAACTCATGCACTTTGATCGCCTGGCTGACCGTGAGTTCTTCCATGGCAAGTGTCAATCGATGGTGCAGCAAGGCGGCCTTGAAGTTCCAGCAGCTGCTGCAGCGTTCTGCCGGCAGATTCCTCAGGCAAAGGGCTTGCCAGGCTCCAGCGCTCTCCAACTTTGCGTGAAGATACCTGCAAGAAGCATCCAGGCCGCAGATCTCCGCAGGTTCCAAAAACGAAAAGCTGCGCCAAACCGCTGCCACCGGACTCGGCAACATGCGCCCCAAGTCGAAGCAGTCATCGCTCACGCGCCACCTCCGCATCGCTTCCTCTAGCTTCTTGCATCGCAGATTCGCCTCGGCCAAGTCTGCCGTCACCATGGCATTCACGACCCGCAGGTCATCCATTTCCTCGCAGCCCAGTGGACTTCCATGGAAAAAGACAAAAGGGCATGCGCCTTTGGCTAGTTGACATTTTTTGAGGGAACTGCCCCAGACAAAAAGGGAAACAGCGTGCCTGAAAGGCAACCCCCTCCCAAAAGCAAGAAGAGGAAACGAGGTGCCACTGAAAGGGACACACCTCCCCCCCGACAAAAGACGCACAGAAAACTATGTAAAGCAACCCTCTGGGCAACTGGGATTTCCTGCTCCAACACAGCCAGGCGGACGCGCAAGGCTGGCCCATCGGCGGCATCCTGCAAAATCTCGGCGAGAGGTCGGCTGAGATCCACGCCAGCCATGACAGAAGGGGCAGCTAAAATGCGGTGCTTGGCTTGGTCCAACATGCCTATGGCAGGCCTGGGTACCGAATGAACAAAGGCGAAGACGAACATGGGATCTGAGTGATTTCTGCTCAAGGAATATTCTCGCAGGTTGCTCCTGCTTTTTGGGTACTCAAAAAGCAAGCCAGGCATCCTTGAATCTAATTGAATTTGGTCCAAATGATGCTCATATGATGCTCAACATGGCCACAAACAAGGCCCAACTTGAGTGCTCAAGCCACTCAGCAAGTAGAGCATCCAAGCATCAAGTAGTTTTGTCAACCCACCTGAGCCTAATCGCCGTTGGACTTTGTCCAGTCCTTTGGAGGCCAATTCGATGTCGTCGTCACTCACGCAAATCACCTCCACCAAGATCCGCACGCCGTCCTGACCGTGTGCCCGGACCAAAAAGCAAACCGGAAATACGGCAACCCAAACAAATCAAAAGGGAAATTATCTGACGGGAGAAAGCGAAAGACATCTCACGGTAGAGATGGGAAGAAACTGATCAGGGGAGTTTCACCAATCAATTGGTGTGTCTTAAAAATAGGGGACCCCAACAATGGTGGTGTTTTCTCCTTGACCCCAAGCCAGAAATGGTGCCCTCAAAAACGAAAACACACCCAAATTGGCGAAAAGGAACAAGCAGGTGAAGCTTTTGTCATGTTCTGACTTGCATCATCTCACTGCCGAGAATGGCCCAAAACAAGTCTGAACTTGCGGTTTACCACCAAATGGGTGTCTTTTTTGTGGGACCTCAGAATGCAAAAAGTTGGGACAGATCCTGAATCCAAGGTTTCTATCAAATGGGCTCTAGGATGCTTCTGGCAAGCAATCAGAATCCGTCTTCTGCAACCCCTTTAAGGTCCCCCGACAACCAAAGCTTGGCCATCCAGCGCGTCACCTAGAAAACTCTTCATAAGGCCACGCCATGCGGATGTGATTCTTATTGTGACCCAAAACAAATTGCTGACATCGCTTAATTCCATGGGGATTCATGGTCATCCATCATGGCGGTGCCCGGTCAAAATTCATATCCCAGTTGGCTTCTCGGATCCAATAGACCCCGGCCCCGCAACGCGCCTGGCGAAAAGCTTCGCTCGCCAGCTCTGGGGCACACCTAGGGCTCTCTCAGAGCCCGCTCGCCGCGAAGTGAACGGGAACCCAAAACGGTTGGTGTCCTTTTGTTTTCCCTTTGATTAGCAAGTCAAAGGGTGCCCGGATCCGATTCTGAGAAACTGCCGTTTGGTGCACTCCCGTTCAATCCAGTGCACAGCGCTGCGAAATCTGGGTTGTTCAATAGGAACGAATTGAAACCCGTACACTTGTGCGATTTGAATCTATCACTTGGGCGTGATATCTCAGTGAAACTACGATGCAACCAGGAGAGTTGGCACCAACAAATTTAGCTCCCTAAGTGGCGTGTTCGCTGGTAGAAAGAGACATGAAGAAACACAAATTCAGCAAAGTACAAAAGATAAGCTAAGTCTGGTAATGTACCTATAGTAAGTCAGCTCTGTGAGCCCCCCCCCCCCCCCCCAATTTTTGAGTTGAAAGAGTGGTGCACAACTCAGAAATTGTATCGTAAGTGGACCCTGGCACAAACAGTATACTGTCGGCAGGGCAGAACCAACCTCAGACGAAGGGAGACTCTGTCCAAACTGGCAATCCAAAAGGTGATGTTCAAATCAACCTGGACCTCCAATGGATAATGGCAATTGGTGTTGGTGAGGCTGCCACGCACAATTCGCCCAAGGGATGTCCCCCAGCCAAAACCGATCATAAGGGAAACGCCTTGAGCAACCGCTTGAGAACCCCCAACCAACCTCTGCCCGAGCATTCGAGCGGCTGATTCTAGCCAAGGAGCAAGATAGCGAGCAGCTGCCTAGCTGTTGGGCACAGAACTTCCCTTTCCTGCAGGTGCTGTGGATGGACGAAATCCATTTCGCACCAACTTAAAACCATGGGAAACCATTTGTTTGTTGATATTTACAGGGGAATCATCGTTCCAGGGTTTCTTGGGTAGCGCAGGATTTCGTCCATCCAATTGCACTGTTTAGTGTTGTGTTTGTTCCACTACTGACATGTCTTCCGGTCATGATAATTTCTCTCTAGAACCACTGAGGAAAAAACAATTCAGCAACAAATCAAGCAGATGTTGCTGCTTTTGACAGTGCTTCCGGTGAGCATTTCTTTCGGTTATGATGTGCACTATTTGCTGATGGTGCTGCTAGAACAAATAATAGAACTCCTGCAGATCTTGCATGAATCCCTTCGTGGGACACCTTTCGATTCTGTGTTGCAGGCGTAGAACTCTTGACAATTCCTTTAACCCAAAGGAAATGGATTAAATCACCAAATCACCCAATCAAGATTCCCCCAGATTCGTCAATGGCTTAGTAATATGAATACACAATCTCCCAAACACAAGTTCAGAGTGCAAAGTTCCAACCCCAACCATCGCAATGGAAGGATCTCGGAGGACCCAAGGCCTTGGGCTTAGGCAATGGGCCACACAGAAACGGATTGGCAAGGATGCACATCGTTTCATGGGACACCATGCTCAAACTTGCAAGAAGTACTTTGCAACCATTAGTATGGCAGCAAACAACTGTGTTTTTTGCAGCTCCGGACTACAAATGAGCAGAGCCAAAAACCTGAAAAAAAATAAGTCAACTGACAGTAAACAGTAATTTCAGGAATGGCTGATGCTTAATGTGCTACAAAGATGCCTATGGCTGAGCCCTGCAGCTTTGGCCAAAGTGTTGTATGGCTAAAGAGCTTCACTATAACCCGCATTGGGCAAGTACACACCGGGCAAGCCGCTGCCCATTTGGGTTTGTCTCCGGATTGGGGAACCAACGAATAATGGCCAAAAAGAGAGCTACCCTCCAAAAAAGCACACCCATTTTGTCATTTTTAAGTCCTGTTGAAACCAAACCAAAAGGGGGTAGCCTGCAAAACACACACACACACACACTGCCTTGTGCCTCTCTTCCGCTCGCCTGAGATTCGGCTCCGCCAGCACCCTCGCCAGCAGTGGCTGTGGCTCCTCCAGATGCAGCGCGCTCAAATCCGGCGCCTGGCGGCACCCGCGGGGGCGCGGGATTCAGTGTACCTGAGGGTTGAGCCAATGGCATGAAACAATATCCCAAGACCTGACACTTTTTGGGGTCTTTGACCGACCTCCCATAGGTGTTTAAAAGATGGATCGAATGTGGAGCACACACGTGCCGCAAGGGTTTGGAAGCCAAGCAAACTTTTCACCTTCCGGGCCAATCCTGTGCCCAAGAACACGACATTAGAGGGGATCCGCCAGCGTGGTAGGGTGAAGTCTAAGAATTGGCTGAGTGCGGACCGAGAGGCTTTCAATGCAGCCCCTCACAAAAGCAGAAGCCTCTGCAGTCAACATGATCTCTATGATCCTCTTGTGCTAGGGGAGTCACTAAACCAGAAATCCGGGCTTTCCATGCGCCCGCCTCCCCCTCTAAGGAACAAAGCAACCTGAGCGGAGACCAAAACCCATTGACTTTTGATTGGGGATACTAAGATGGTCAGATTGCAATCAGATACAGGCCATAAATCAGGCAAGACCCGAAACACCCACTAAAATCGCCCTTGCAGGACTCGTTTTCTGCCAATTCTACCAAGCAGCTACTGTGGATGGTCGAAATCCTGCACCACCCAACAAAGCCTGGAATGATTCCTTTCCCCTGTAAATACTCACAAACAATGGTTTCAACCATGGTTTCAAGTTGGTGCGATTTCTGGATTTCGCAACCATCCACAGTAGGACCCCGAAACCACGAGACATCGCCCGAGGTGGTGCTCGCTGGCTGCTGGCATCGCCTGCAGCTGCTGCAGGGAGCTGATTACCTCCACCTCCCCGTCGCAGCGCAAGAGCACTGCGTCGGGCGCCTCTGGGAGCGACCCGGGGCCCACGCCACGCGGCGGAGAAATCATGGGTTTCTGCGGTGAAATTTGGTAGCTTCAGCACTTGACAAGGGTTCCCCTTAATATGTGGCTAGCCACATATATATATATATATATATTAGCAGAATTTGAGCCTGGAACCAGTTGTTTCCTTTGTCACAGAAATGAGCTTGAAACCATTTGTTTTCCACATTTGTTTTCCACAATTGACAGTTTGGAGACTGGACAAGTAAGTTGCCGAACAGCAACTGGCGCCAGGGACACTAAAGTGACTAATCCAATCTTGTCCACAGGGCATGCCCTCCAAAATTGGCAAAGCCAACCTGTAGATGGCATATCTGCTCGGGCTGTTTAAGGCTGGAGGTGTGGCCTACATGCCACCTCATGCCCCAGGTATTACCTGCCCGAATTGCGCTCCCGGACAAAACAAAACAGTGGCAAACAAAGGCGGTTTGTTGTTGGTACCCGTTGAAGAGAAACCACCCCCCAAACCCAAACAACAACTTGAAAAGAAGGAAACACGTGATTTAAGAGGGAACCCGGAAACCCTCCAGGTAAGCACGAGTTGAACACGAGGAACGACCACTTCCAGGGTTGCTCCGCGCAGAATGATCAAACCCCAAGGGTGGAATTTGGTTCCCTGCCGAGGTCTTTGGAGCCATCTATCGTATGAAGTCCAGTCAAGCCAGCCCGGACAGCATTCATCAAGTTGAACTAGCTTTGAAACCATGTGAGGAGCCATAGAAAACATACCCTGTGGATCCCAGTTAACACTATAGGCATTCTTGTCTTGTTGTTTAAAGGGTGGTTCCCTTGGTTTCCTCCCAGCCTTCGCTCACTCACTCCCCTTGGTCACCCTTCTGGCACGACTGGGATCGAGCCTGGGATAGGCTTCGATTTGAAAACTTGGCCCATTTCACCAGCAAAATAACACAACACCAGGACCCCTCCACTCAGGTTCCAGTAGGTTCTCCCATTTCACAATTGTCAAAACCAGGACCCCCCCGCTCAGGAAAACGTAAGAGGAACCCCCCCCCCCCCGCTCAGGTTGACGGAAGAGGTACCCCCCCGTAGGTTTTCTGAAAAGAACAAAAATGACGGAAGAGGTAGCCCCCCCCCCGTAGGTTTTCCGAGAAAAAAACTCACGTCTCTCCGCTCGAAACGCGACGCCCAGCGCTGCGCAAAGCGATCGCCTGGAAGCAGCTCCGCAGCTCCGCCAGCTGCGGCCCAAAGTCCAGCTGCAAGCTGAAGGCCCAGAGCCGGCCCCGGCCCTCGAAATACACCTCGCGTGCACAACAACAAAGCCACGCGGACGCAGAAGGGGTGGATTTATGTTTGTGGATGCTTCTTGCAAAACAACTAGTACCAGCATCATCGTTGAAACTTTATGTATCCTTCTTATTGTCAGTATTGATGTCATCTTGGTGGAGTACAGTTGATTAACAGAAACCACAAGACAGGCTTCCTTTTATTAAACGTCACGCACACACTCAAAGAGCTCTTAGTGCCTTTGTTTGAACAAGACCCCCTTTGATTTTCTCCTGTTCCTTTCTAAACCAGCCAGCTCGAGTGGGTCACGGCCCTTGCTATTCTAGCTGTATCCTCCCCATTCTCTTCAAAGAATGGGCCATACCCTGAAAAATAGGCGATTGCTAACGAGAAGGGGTGAACAGAATGGAAAAGGAATCAAACCTTCGAGCTATGGCTTAGAACGACTCGAGAACCACAAGACAGGGATGCCGAATTTTGCAAAGGGAAGTATTGCTGGGGAAGGCTTTCGGAAGGAACCTTGGCATCCGTCTTAAAAGCAAGCACGCCCTCATTCACTGAGAACTCGCGACATGGTTATGGGGAATTAACTGCCATTGCAATACCAAAGTGGACCATCCTTATGACTTTGACACTTTCAAGGGGCTTGATATAACAGAAAGCGCCATTCCTCAAAACCAGATTGTATAAAAAAGAGGTAATGAGGTCAGCGCTTTTGTACTCCTTATCGTTTTGCAGTGTTTTGGCTTTCAGCTATATAACCCAGTCCGACTCTGCTAGATTCAGGCCCCAAGCCAACGCAAGTAAAGTGAGGAGCGAAAAGCGGCAGCAACCTGTTCACTCCAAATCGGCTACGCTGTCTCAATCCGTTGAACTGCTTCCAGAACTGAAGGAAGACGGGTCCTCACGAGCATCAAACTGCTTGTGTCCAGGCGCTGGCGGACATACACAACATCCTTCTGGCAAAACTGGGGCCCCATCTCATGGCCCCACAGGCCCGCATGGCGCTTGGGCCCAATGCCTGAAGCCCGAACTGAGCCATCAACTCGTGTCTTACCAATTGCGATTGTGGTTTACTCCTTTTCGTGGAGGATTTGTAAACAAGGCGGCCCACTCAAGTAGAAATGGCCCTCTTTCGTCCAAACCCATCGGCCCATGTCTCACCATGTCCCGAGGTTCAAACCTCCCAGAGAGCAATGGGGGGTTCATATCACCCATCAATTTTTGCCTAAGGAGTTTCATCGTCTAACTTGGGAAGGAGCCCTAGGCCAGCAACTTGGGAGTTACACCTGTGCTCAAGGCTATCGCGGTCCGAGGCTCCGTGTGCTCCAGCGCAAAGACGTCGCTCTCGATGCTCTCGCTGGGCGCCTAAAAGGACATACTGAATGGACTGGGTGTGCATTGAAAACATACGTAGGGATGGAGCGGGTTAGAACAAAAGGGTTAGAGCAAAACCAGGGGTTGACACAGACATGGAGCCGAATAAAATAGGGCACCTGGAGACAATGTCAAAGTGGATACTGGCAGTTCTCGGTGTGAACGCAGATGAGCACGTGGGTTGTGGGCACAACTTGTGCTGTATAATGGGCCTGAAAACAATACAACGATCACGCATTCTCTTTCTTGGTTTCCTTCAGGCAGAATTGAAGGCTATTTGGTCTCACCCGGGTACTCACATTTTTACGCTTGGACGGCCAAAAGTCGAAACTGATTAGTTGCCACTTAAAATGATCTTCCCGAAAAGTATTTTCACGCCAGCACCTCTTGTGTTGGAGTTTCACTCGCCCAGTCCGCGAGACCACTGGAACCTGAAAACGGACACACAATCGGGTCTATCGCTGGCGCTTTTCAGGACTCGCTTCACGGGTGTGAATTTGAATGGGACCACCGTTGGCACTTCGACAGGCAAATGTGGTTGGTGGTTCCTCCTAAAATTCATGGCATGACTTTTGGAGGGTTAAATGGATCCCAACCACTAAACCAACTAAAAACACCCAAAAACCTAAAAACCTAAATCTTAAGGAACGGGACGTGGCGGGGAGCCCGAACCGCCAAGTCAAGTGGCACCCAACTCCGACCACGACTCGTTGCGCCTCGCTTCGGGGGACTTCGAGCTGGGCTTGGCCGGCGTCTTGGGCGGCACTCTGCAAGCCTGTGGCGCATCAACGACGGGGAAAAAGACGTGTCTTGTTGTTTGGAAAGGCCTGGATTCCCGGTGGGTTTCCCAACCACACGGGGTTCTCGAAACTTGCTTCTTCTTAAGATGTTTGGTTCGTATAAATGGACCCAAAAGGGGAAAACACGTTGTTGCAAAAAGAGGTTCACAAAAGGAGACTAAATGGAGGTGAACAACTTGATCCAAAATGGGAACCCTTTTGGAGGTTCACATCCGAAAGTGGAAGCCACATTTTGTGCTGCAAAAGGAAGCAAAGCACAGAAGCATATTGCGCCCAGCTTGCGACGTGAGAAAGCCCTCTAACTCACCTGGAACCCAAAAAGGCCGCCATTGCCAGAGGAGACGGAGGCTCCTTCGGGGCATCTCCCCCAAAAGGGCTGCTGGTCTCAACATCAAATTCAACCTCTCCGGTGGCTGGGCCCCGAAAGTGCTTCTCGTCCTTCAAAACCAGACCCAAAATCAAAAGCTGCATTCCCAGAAGCAACTAACCCACAAAGAGCAAGGTTCGAGTCGATCGAAAACAAACAATATCAGACAATGAGAAAGCTACGGGTGTTCGGACACCTTGTGTGTGTGGATAAAATGCTTGACATAGGCCATGGACAAGATGACCAGCATGTTACTCTATGGGCGTCCCCAAATTTTCTGTTTGGCTGATTGAGGGATATCGGATTTCGGAATAGTCAGTCCTTCCATTAGTTTTGTCTTAACTCTTAACCTTGTCGAGCGTTCACCTGAATAATTGTCCGAAAGAGCCCCCTTCAAGAGACGATGTGACTTGTCACCTTAAAAGAACACCAACAAGCTGTAGCTCTGCCCTTGTTGTGTTTGGGAGGAATGCCACATCCTGCCGCAGAGCTGCATTGGTGACACACGTTGTACTTGCAGTTCTTGGTGCATCGCCAGAACGTGGACACGGAACCGATGCCGGTGCCGCACACGTGGCAGGTCCTCTTGTCCTCTCACAGCAAAGCTGTGCATCGGATGCATCTTAGCTATTTTATTGTGGATGGATAATTTCAATTTGGGATGGATGAACCCCTATAAAACCAAAAAAAGCAAGCTGGGGTAAACCACCTACCAACTGGTGAAGGAATTTGACCGTCCAGTACTACATTCAATTCTGCTGTTGAACGCTGCTCAAACCGCCTAACGGTAGAAAAGCTCACTGGCCGTGGCTCTTCAGCTTTGTCTTCCTTTAAGCGCCTCTGCGTTGACCGCCTTGAAACAAAGAGCTGCCCAAAGAACTTCGATCGCCGGATTCCTCGAAGGCAACTCTTTGCCATGTGTGAATGGACCGAGGGTGTCCTGGCTCCTTGGGTCCGCGAGCGCTCTCTCTCGCTCTCTGAACAAACGGGGTATTCCAAAACCGTCTTGCTTTCTGACCGGACTTGCACCAAAAATGTCCAACCTGGATCTTCCAAATCATGGAAATTTCACGTAAAATCCGGAGACTACCAGTTTTTTGAGGGTCTCAGTGAAAAAACACAGAGTTTTCAAACTCCTGGTTTTTGGGGTAAAACTCCTAGACATTGATTGTCGATTCTGGAAATTGTTTGCACACCTGAAACCCCTAGAAATCGCAATTATTCGGTACTTGACGGAAGGAACTCTCCAATTCAGACATATTCTGAATCAGAATCATTCACCTGAATCAGAATCGTTCACCTGAATCAGAATTATTTATTCAGAATTCAGAATTATTCTGAATTCGGAATTATTGCCTTTGGGCGACAAATTGGCAAAACCGGAAAGCACCACACCTGAAACTCAGCGCAAAACACCCGCAAAAAGCCCGCAAACTCCCGCAAAAACCCGCAAACTCCCGCAAATCAAAAAAAGACAGAGTTTCCGGAGTGTGCGTAGTAAAATTAGTGGAATACCCACTCCAGTGCAGAGTTGCATAATTGCTGGGATAGTGTAAAGAGTTGCACAATTGCGCGCCCAAACAACGAAAAAAGACAACAAGACTTGAATCCAATTGTTCCCCCAAGAGCCACTCCTAGTTTTTGATGTTCACTCCTGCCTTTTGCAAGCCACTCCTGCTTTTTGATTCCTGCATTTGAAACACCTGAAACTCCTAGTTTTGAGAGGGTCTCCTGGAAATATCCCGGAGAACGGAAAAACAGAGAAATAACCCGGAGACGTGGTCTTCCCAACAACTCAGGCATCTAATATTTCAAGAACTGGGGGAGTGAGCTTTCGGTCGGTTCAACCCTGTGCAAATAACCCACTTACGCCTGTTGGAAAGTCCCCTAAGTAGGTCAGATACTACCCATTGAATAGCCTGTCCCCTCTGCCCTGCAAATTCACGTGGAACCCAGAAAGTGACTATAACCAGAGTTAGTAAGGCCCCAAAACCGTCCTGAAAGACTTGCCATTGGCTTTCCCTCCGCCCAGATTTCTCTCCGATCTGGTCAAGGAGCAACCCTGGGGTTGAGAACCAGAGTTGCCAAGCCGGGAACCTGGATATCTTTCGACTGAACCTCAAAAGATCCTCGAAATCATCCTTGCAACATCGCGAAGAATTACCTACGATATATAGCTGCAAGGTCTACTGTGTTCGGTTGTCCCACCAATGTCTTCTCCACCCTTTTCCCAGGGTACCCTCAGCCAATGGCGCAAACCATTGTTGTTTTTCCATAAACCTCCAAGCCTCCATGCTCCGAAGCCCCCTTTCACAAAAAACACAAATCCAAACCTCAACGCTCAGAAGCTCCCCCCAACAAAAATTACACGGCTCCTGGAAGAATTTCGCCGGCTCCCCCCTCCGAGTGATGGGGTGGCCATCTGGGCACTGCAGCGCCTTCAGCGCTGTGGCCGGAACAGCTGCTGAGCCTAACCTAGCGGAGGCGGCCCCAGCCTCTGCGGCCCCAGCTTCTGCGCTCGCTATGGTTTCGGTTTTCCCTTCAAGGGACGTGTGGTGAATTCACTTTACTTGTCCGGAGGCATATATTTTTTTGCCCTTCAAGGGACGTGTGGTGAATTCACTTTACTTTTCCGGAGGCATGTTTTTTTGCCCTTCAAGGGACGTGTGGTGAATTCACTTTACTTTTCCGGAGGCATGCTTTTTGCCCTTCAAGGGACGTGTGGTGAATTCACTTTACTTTTCCGGAGGCATGTTTTTTGCCCTTCAAGGGACGTGTGGTGAATTCACTTTACTTTTCCGGAGGTGTGTTTTTTTGCCCTTCAAGGGACTGTGAATTCACTTTACTTTTCCGGAGGTATGTTTTTTTGCCCTTTAAGGGACGTGTGGTGTGAATTCATTTTACTTTTGCCCCGGAGGTATGTTTCTTTGCCCTTCAAGGGACGTGTTGTGAATTCACTTTACTTTTCCGGAGGTGTGTTTTTTTTGCCCTTCAAGGGACGTGTGGTGAATTCACTTTACTTTTCCGGAGGCATGCTTTTTGCCCTTCAAGGGACGTGTGGTGAATTCACTTTACTTTTCCGGAGGTGTGTTTTTTTGCCCTTCAAGGGACAGGTTGTGAATTCACTTTACTTTTCCGGAGGTATGCTTTTTTGCCCTTTAAGGGACGTGTGGTGAATTCATTTTACTTTTCCGGAGGTATGTTTCTTTGCCCTTCAAGGGACGTGTTGTGAATTCACTGTACTTTTCCGGAGGTGTGTTTTTTTGCCCTTCAAGGGACGTGTGGTGATTTCACTTTACTTTTCCGGAGGTATGTTTTTTGCCCTTCAAGGGACGTGTGGTGAATTCACTGTACTTTTCCCGAGGTATGCTTTTTTGCCCTTCAAGGGACGTGTGGTGAATTCACTTTACTTTTCCGGAGGCATGTTTTTTTGCCCTTCAAGGAACGTGTGGTGAATTCACTGTACTTTTCCGGGGGAATGTTTTTTGCCCTTCAACGGACGTGTGGTGAATTCATTTTACTTTTCCCGAGGTGTTTTTTGACCTTCAAGGGACGTGTGGTGATTTCACTTTACTTTTCCGGAGGCATGTTTTTTGCACTTTAAGGGACGTGTGATGAATTCACTTTACTTTTCTGGAGGCATGTTTTTTTGCCCTTCGCTTTTCCCGAGTTGTGTTTTTTTGCCCTTCAAGGGACGTGTGGTGATTTCACTTCACTTTTCCGGAGGCATGTTTTTTTGCCCTTCAAGGGACGTGTGGTGAATTCACTGTACTTTTCCCGAGGTATGCTTTTTGCCCTTCAAGGGACGTGTGGTGATTTCACTTTACTTTTCCGGAGGTATGTTTTTTTGCCCTTCAAGGGACGTGTGGTGAATTCACATTACTTTTCCCGAGGTATGCTTTTTTGCCCTTCAGGGGACGTGTGGTGAATTCACTTTACTTTTCCCGAGGTATGCTTTTTAGCCCTTCAAGGGACGTGTGGGGAATTCACTTTACTTTTCCCGAGGTATGTTTTGTGCCCTTCAAGGGACATGTGGTGAATTCACTTTACTTTTCCCGAGGTATGCTTTTTTGTCCTTCAAGGGACGTGTGGTGAATTCACTTTACTTTTCCGGAGGTATGTTTTTTTGCCCTTCAAGGGACGTGTGGTGAATTCATTGTACTTTTCCCGAGGTATGCTTTTTTGCCCTTCAAGGGATGTGTGGTGAATTCACTTTACTTTTCCCGAGGTATGTGTTTTTGCCCTTCAAGGGACGTGTGGTGAATTCACTTTACTTTTCCCGAGGTATGTTTTTTTGCCCTTCAAGGGACGTGTGGTGAATTCACTGTACTTTTCCCGAGGTATGCTTTTTTGCCCTTCAAGGGACGTGTGGTGAATTCACTTTACTTTTCCCGAGGCATGTTTTTTTGCCCTTCAAGGGACGTGTGGTGAATTCACTTTACTTTTCCCGAGGTATGCTTTTTGCCCTTCAAGGGACGTGTGGTGAATTCACTTTACTTTTCCGGAGGTATGTTTTTTTGCCCTTCAAGGGACCTGTTGTGAATTCACTTTACTTTTCCGGAGGGATATTTTTTGCCCTTCAAAAGACGTGTGGTGAATTCATTGTACTTTTCCGGAGGTATGTTTTTTTGCCCTTCAAGGGACGTGTTGTGAATTCACTTTACTTTTGCGGAGGTATGTTTTTTTGCCCTTCAAGGGACGTGTTGTGAATTCACTTTACTTTTCCGGAGGTATGTTTTTTGCCCTTCAAGGGACGTGTTGTGAATTCACTTTACTTTTCCGGAGGTATGTTTTTTTGCCCTTCAAGGGACGTGTGGTGAATTTACTCTACTTTTCCGGAGGTATGCTTTTTTGCCCTTCAAGGGACGTGTTGTGAATTCACTTTACTTTTCCCGAGGTATGTTTTTTGCCCTTCAAGGGACGTGTGGTGAATTCACTTTACTTTTCCCGAGGTATGCTTTTTTGCCCTTCAAGGGACGTGTGGTGAATTCACTGTACTTTTCCTGAGGTATGCTTTTTGCCCTTCAAGGGACGTGTGGTGAATTCACTTTACTTTTCCGGAGGTATGTTTTTTGCCCTTCAAGGGACGTGTTGTGAATTCACTTTACTTTTCCAGAGGCATGTTTTTTGCCCTTTAAGGGACAGGTGATGAATTCACTTTACTTTTCCGGAGGTATGTTTTTTTGCCCTTCAAGGGACGTGTTGCGAATTCACTTTACTTTTCCGGAGGAATGTTTTTTGCCCTTCAAGGGACGTGTGGCGAATTCATTGTACTTTTCCGGAGGTATGTTTTTTGGCCCTTCAAGGGACGTGTGGTGAATTCACGTTACTTTTCCTGAGGTATGCTTTTTTGCCCTTCAAGGGACGTGTTGTGAATTCACTTTACTTTTCCCGAGGTATGTTTTTTACCCTTCAAGGGACGTGTGGTGAATTCACTTTCCTTTCCCGAGGTATGCTTTTTTGCCCTTCAAGGGACGTGTGGTGTATTCTTTTTTTGCCCTTCAAGGGACGTGTTGTGAATTCACTTTACTTTTCCCGAGGTATGTTTTTTGCCCTTCAAGGGACGTGTGGTGAATTCACTTTCCTTTCCCGAGGCATGCTTTTTGGCCCTTCAAGGGACGTGTGGTGAATTCAATTTACTTTTCCGGAGGTATGCTTTTTTTGCCCTTCAAGGGACGTGTGGTGAATTCACTTTACTTTTCCCGAGGCATGCTTTTTGGCCCTTCAAGGGACGTGTGGTGAACTCACTTTACTTTTCCCGAGGTATGCTTTTTTGCCCTTCAAGGGACGTGTGGTGAATTCACTTTACTTTCCCCGAGGTATGTTTTTTTGCCCTTCAAGGGACATGTGGTGAATTCACTTTACTTTTCCCGAGGTATGTTTTTTTTGCCCTTCAAGGGACGTGTGGTGAATTCACTTTACTTTTCCCGAGGTACGCTTTTTTGCCCTTCAAGGGACGTGTTGTGAATTCACTTTACTTTTCCGGAGGTATGTTTTGTTGCCCTTCAAGGGACGTGTGGTGAATTCACTTTACTTTTCCCGAGGTATGTTTTGTTTGCCCTTCAAGGGACATGTGGTGAATTCACTTTACTTTTCCCGCGGTATGTTTTTTTGCCCTTCAAGGGACGTGTTGTGAATTCACTTTACTTTTCCGGAGGTATGTTTTTTTGCCCTTCAAGGGACGTGTGGTGAATTTACTTTACTTTTCCGGAGGTATGCTTTTTTGCCCTTCAAGGGACGTGTTGTGAATTCACTTTACCTTTCCCGAGGTATGTTTTTTGCCCTTCAAGGGACGTGTGGTGAATTCACTTTACTTTTCCCAAGGTATGCTTTTTTTCCCTTCAAGGGACGTGTGGTGAATTCACTTTACTTTTCCCGAGGCATGCTTTTTTGCCCTTCAAGGGACGTGTGGTGAATTCACTTTACTTTTCCGGAGGTATGTTTTTTGGCCCTTCAAGGGACGTGTGGTGAATTCACTTTACTTTTCCCGAGGTATGCTTTTTGCCCTTCAAGGGACGTGTGGTGAGTTCACTTTACTTTTCCGGAGGTATGTATTTTTGCCCTTCAAGGGACGTGTGGCGAATTCACTTTACTTTTCCGGAGGAATGTTTTTTGCCCTTCAAGGGACGTGTGGTGAATTCATTTTACTTTTCCGGGGGTATGTTTTTTTGACCTTCAAGGGACGTGTTGTGAATTCACTTTACTTTTCCGGAGGAATGTTTTTTGCCCTTCAAGGGACGTGTGGTGAATTCATTTTACTTTTCCGGAGGTATGTTTTTTGCCCTTCAAGAGACGTGTGGTGAATTCATCTTACTTTTCCGGAGGTATGTTTTTTGCCCTTCAAGGGACGTGTGGTGAATTCACTTTACTTTTCCGGAGGTATGTTTTTTTGCCCTTCAAGGGGCGCGTTGTGACTTCACGTTACTTTTCCCGAGGTATGTTTTTTGCCCTTCAAGGGACGTGTGGTGAATTCACTTAACTTTTCCGAAGGATTTTTTTTGCCCTTCAAGGGACGTGTTGTGAATTCACTATACTTTTCCGGAGGTATGTTTTTTGCCCTTTAAGGGACGTGCAGTGAATTCATGTTACTTTTCCGGAGGTATGTTTTTTTGCTCTTCAAGGGACGTGTTGTGAATTCACTTTAATTTTCCGGAGGTATGCTTTTTGCCCTTCAAGGGACGTGTGGTGAATTCACTTTACTTTCCCCGAGGTATGTTTTTTTGCCCTTCAAGGGACATGTGGTGAATTCACTTTACTTTTCCCGAGGTATGTGTTTTTGCCCTTCAAGGGACGTGTGGTGAGTTCACTTTACTTTTCCCGAGGTATGTTTTTTTGCCCTTCAAGGGACGTGTGGTGAATTCACTGTACTTTTCCCGAGGTATGTTTTTTTTGCCCTTCAAGGGACGTGTGGTGAATTCACTTTACTTTTCCCGAGGCATGTTTTTTTGCCCTTCAAGGGACGTGTGGTGAATTCACTTTACTTTTCCCGAGGTATGCTTTTTGCCCTTCAAGGGACGTGTGGTGAATTCACTTTACTTTTCCCGAGGTATGTTTTGTTGCCCTTCAAGGGACGTGTTGTGAATTCACTTTACTTTTCCGGAGGGATATTTTTTGCCCTTCAAGGGACGTGTGGTGAATTCACTTTACTTTTCCCGAGGTATGTTTTGTTTGCCCTTCAAGGGACATGTGGTGAATTCACTTTACTTTTCCCGAGGTATGTTTTTGTTGCCCTTGAAGGGACGTGTTGTGAATTCACTTTACTTTTCCGAAGGTGTGTTTTTTGCCCTTCAAGGGACGTGTTGTGAATTCACTTTACTTTTCCGGAGGTATGTTTTTTTGCCCTTCAAGGGACGTGTTGTGAATTCACTTTACTTTTCCGGAGGTATGTTTTTTGGCCCTTCAAGGGACGTGTTGTGAATTCACTTTACTTTTCCGGAGGTATGTTTTTTTGCCCTTCAAGGGACGTGTTGTGAATTCACTGTACTTTTCCGGAGGTATGCTTTTTGCCCTTCAAGGGACGTGTTGTGAATTCACTTTACTTTTCCCGAGGTATGTTTTTTGCCCTTCAAAGGACGTGTTGTGAATTCACTTTACTTTTCCGGAGGTATGCTTTTTTGCCCTTCAAGGGACGTGTGGTGAATTCACTTTACTTTTCCCGCGGTATGCTTTTTGCCCTTCAAGGGACGTGTGGTGAATTCATTGTACTTTTCCGGAGGTATATTTTTTTGCCCTTCAAGGGACGTGTTGTGAATTCACTTTACTTTTCCCAAGGTATGCTTTTTTGCCCTTCAAGGGACGTGTTGTGAGTTCACTTTACTTTTCCGGAGGTTTGTTTTTTGGCCCTTCAAGGGGCGTGTTGTGGATTCACTTTACTTTTCCGGAGATATATTTTGTGGTGTGAATTAACATTACTTTTCCGGAGGTGTGTTTTTTTGCCCTTCAAGGGACGTGTTGTGAATTCACTTTACTTTTCCCGAGGTATGCTTTTTGCCCTTCAAGGGACGTGTGGTGAATTCACTTTACTTTTCCGAAGGAATTTTTTTGCCCTTCAAGGGACGTGTTGTGAATTCACTATACTTTTCCGGAGGTATGTTTTTTGCCCTTTAAGGGACGTGTGGTGAACTCATGTTACTTTTCCGGAGGTATGTTTTTTTGCTCTTCAAGGGACGTGTTGTGAATTCACTTTACTTTTCCGGAGGTATGTGCTTTTGCCCTTCAAGGGACGTGTGGTGAATTCACTTTACTTTTCCGGAGGTATGTTTCTTGCCCTTCAAGGGACGTGTTGTGAATTCACTTTACTTTTCCGGAGGTATGTTTCTTTGCCCTTCAAGGGACGTGTGGTGATTTCATTTTACAAGTTATGTTTTTTTGCCCGTCAAGGGACGTGTTGTGAATTCACTTTACTTTTCCGGAGGTATGTTCTGTTGCCCTTCAAGGGACGTGTTGTGAATTCACTTTACTTTTCCGCAGGTATGTTCTGTTGCCCTTCAAGGGACGTGTTGTGAATTCAGCTTACTTTTCCGGAGGTATGTGCTTTTGCCCTTCAAGGGACGTGTTGTGAATTCATTTTACTTTTCCGGAGGTATGCTTTTTTGCCCTTCAAGGGGCGTGTTGTGAATTCACTTTACTTTTCCGGAGGTATGTTTTGTTGCCCTTCAAGGGACGTGTTGTGAAATCACTTTACTTTTCCCGAGGTATGTTTTGTTGCCCCTCAAGGGACGTGTTGTGAATTCACTTTACTTTTCCGGAGGTATGTTCTGTGGCCCTTCAAGGGACGTGTTGTGAATTCACTTTACTTTTGCGGAGGTAAGCTTTTTTGCCCTTCAAGGGACGTGTTGTGAATTCACTTTACTTTTCCGGAGGTATGTTTTTGCCCTTCAAGGGACGTGTTGTGAATTCACTTTACTTTTCCGGAGGTATGCTTTTTTGCCCTTCAAGGGACGTGTGGCGAATTCATGTTACGTTTCCGGAGGTACGTTTTTTGCCCTTCAAGGGACGTGCTGTGAATTCACCTTACTTTTCCGGAGGTATGTGTTTTTGCCCTTCAAGGGACGTGTTGTGAATTCGCTTTACTTTTCCGGAGGTGTGTTTTTTGCCCTTCAAGGGACGTGTTGTGAATTCATTTAACTTTTCCGGAGGTATGTTTTTTTGCCCTTCAAGGGACGTGCTGTGAATTCACTTTACTTTTCCGGAGGTATGTGTTTTTGCCCTTCAAGGGACGTGTGGTGATTTCTCTTTACTTTTCCGGAGGTATGCGTTTTGCCCTTCAAGGGACGTGTGGTGAATTCACTTTACTTTTCCGGAGGCATGTTTGTTTGCCCTTCAAGGGACGTGTTGTGAATTCACTTTACTTTTCCGGAGGTATGTTTTTTTGCTCTTCAAGGGACGTGTTGTGAAGTCATTTAACTTTTCCGGAGGTGTGTCTTTTGCCCTTCAAGTGACGTGTTGTGAATTCACTTTACTTTTCCGGAGGTATGTTTTTTTGCCCTTCAAGGGACGTGTTGTGAATTCACTTTACTTTTCCGGAGGTATGTATTTTTGCCCTTCAAGGGACGTGTTGTGAATTCACTTTACTTTTCCGGAGGTATGTTTTTTGCCCTTCAAGGGACGTGTGGTCAATTCATGTTACTTTTCCGGAGGTATGTTTTTTTGCCCTTCAAGGGACGTGTTGTGAATTCACTTTACTTTTCCGGAGGTATGTGTTTTGCCCTTCAAGGGACGTGTTGTGAATTCACTTTACTTTTCCGGAGGTATGTTTTTTTGCCCTTCAAGGGACGTGTCGTGAATTCACTTTACTTTTCCGGACATCTGTTTTGTTGCCCTTCAAGGGACGTGTCGTGAATTCACTTTACTTTTCCGGACATCTGTTTTGTTGCCCTTCAAGGGACGTGTTGTGAATTGATTTTACTTTTCCAGAAGTATGTTTTTTGCTCGTCAACGGACGTGTTGTGAATTCACTTTACTTTTCCGGAGGTATGTTTTTTGCCCTTCAAGGGACGTGCTGTGGATTCACTTTACTTTTCCGGAGGTATGTTGTTTTGCCCTTCAAGGGACGTGTTGTGAATTCACTTTACTTTCGGAGGTATGCTTTTTTGCCCTTCAAGGGACGTGTTGTGAGTTCACTTTACTTTTCCGGAGGTTTGTTTTTTGGCCCTTCCAGGGACGTGTTGTGGATTCTCTTTACTTTTCCGGAGATATATTTTGTGGTGTGAATTAACATTACTTTTCCGGAGGTATGTGTTTTTTCCTCTTCCAGGGGCGTGTTGTGAATTCATTTGACTTTTCCGGAGGTATGTGCTTTTGCCCTTCAAGGGACGTGTTGTGAATTCACTTTACTTTTCCGGAGGTATGTTTTTTTGCCCTTCAAGGGACGTGTTGTGAATTCACTTTACTTTTCTGGAGGTATGTTTTTTTGCCCTTCAAGGGACGTGTTGTGAATTCATTTTACTTTTCCGGAGGTATGTTTTTTTGCCCTTCAAGGGACGTGTTGTGAATTCACTTCACTTTTCCGGAGGTATGTGTTTTTGCCCTTCAAGGGACGTGTTGTGAAATCACTTTACTTTTCCGGAGGTATGTTGTTTTTCCCTTCAAGGGACGTGTTGTGGATTCACTTTACCTTTCCTGAGTGTTGTGAATTCACTTTCCTTTTCCCGAGGTATGTTTTTGTCGCCCTTCAAGGGACATGTTGTGATTTTTTTTCTTTTCCGGAGGTATGCTTTTTTGCCTTCAAGGGACGTGTTGTGAATTCACTTTACTCTTCCGGAGGTATGTTTTTGTTCCGGTGGTTGTTTTGGATTGTTTCTTCTAAAAGGGGTGTAATGTCCAATATTCCTGCAAAGTTCACCTCTCCAGTTACATCCCCTTTCATAAGGGGGGTTGCCCATCGTCTCCTGAGCTGTTCAATCTCACATCCCCGCTACTTTGTTGAAGCAATACAGAGGTGGAAAGGCTCTCTACGACCTGGCAAGGCTCAAAAACACCACAGGGTGGACTCAACAAACAGCAGCGGGACTTGTAGACCAGCAAGAACCTCAAGCAAGTGCAAACACACTTGGATGCTTGCACGTTTATAAGGATACTTATAGCGGGGAACACATCAATCGTACGGCTTGTTTTCCTGAAGCTGCAGATCTCACTGAATTCGTCTTGCCCACTTGTCGCTCATACCGTTTATACAACCTCTTTGGAACCAGCACATCTTACCCCACTGTATCGCTGTTACTGACCATGGTGCTTGATCCCTATCAGAAAACCACGAGGGCACCAAATGCCTTCACAACCGACAAGTCTTACGGATTGCCGTTTCAGAGCCCTTGTTGTGGCAAAGCAACTACTGCAAATGCCCAATGAATTGGTCGTTGTTTGCCTCTTGTCCAGATATGTGTTGCTTCTGACGGTGCCCCCAGTTTAGCTAGAATAGTGCGCAACTGGACGCACAGGGAAGCCTCCAAAAGCCTTGACAGGTTTAAACTAATACTCTTTGGCCCCTCACTAACCATGTGTCCAGATTGGAACGAACCAACAAGTTGAAAACCATAAAAGACAAGAACAAGCAGGGTTTCTTGGGAAAGTCCAATCCTTCGGGACCTGCACAACCCACCCGAGGATTGGCGAAAATTCACCGAGCTGTCGCTAGGTGGGGGAAAACAACAAAAGGCCTTAACATAAAACATCATGCCCTGAGATACTTATTGGTTCAATAGCAGCCCAAACCCGCATCCAAACGACTTTGGTCCTTCAAACCCTTTGGTTTCCGGCGGTTTTTTCGGGCCCGATCCGACTCCAGGGTTTAGCAGATGCCAGGCCACTTGCGCTTCGCCGCCGCCTCCTCATCTGCCTTGAGCTGCAAGTAGGAGATGCCGGCCTCCACGCTCTCAAAGGGAAGCTCCTTCCTGGCGGGAAGGCCAGGAAAACCAGCCTAAAGCAGGCTTAAACCCAACCCCTGCCCCCCAAAAGTTTCTGTCTTTGGCTTGATTCCTTCCGGAAACTGCCGCTGGCCTACAGAAGCCAACCACTTTCGTCTGCAACAGGGCAGAGTTTCTGTCTTTGGCTTGATTCCTTCCAGAAACTGCCGCGGCCTAAGCCTACCTACCCAACACAGTGGAACGTCTGGATGGGGCGAAGGGAAAATAGGAGGGGTACCCGAGAGTTGTCAACTCAGGGAACCGGTGACCTTCATAACCCTAAGGGTCCAGCGTACGTTCTTAGAATGTACATTGAAGTTGCGACCATGCTGAGGGACATTTCTGAGCCCCGACCGTGCTAGTGAACTTTTGGGGGCCCAGGGTTTGAGAAGCACACTCACGCCCGCCTGCCGCGGGCCATTTTTTCTCAAGTCCCCACAGCTCAGCCGACAAGCTGTGTTCGGCTCTCAGCTCAGTTTGCCCTTCAGCTATCGGAGTCTGAGAAGTCATCAAAATCCCCCCGCTGCATGTGGTTTTGAATCCTTAGACAAAGGCAAGGCCAAGTTTGCCTGACTACTTGCTCATGCCAGTGCAAAGGAAGGCTCCCCATGAAGTATCGGCGGAGAACCGCCCCTTCGAGCACATGCTTGTGGCAACCAGAAGCCAGCCCTCAGCGCGGCAGGTGTTGCTAAATTCTCATGTTTAAAGTTGACAAGTTCTTAGCCGCTGACCAGCCATCTTTCCCACGAAATCCTCCGTGGCAAAGCCGTGGTAAAATCGAGAACAAATTCCTGAGTGAGCCAGCGGGCTCTTCCAGCATGGGGCCAAGCTAAAAAAAAGATTGTCGAACTGCACATTTGTGACAGGCCTCGTTCCTGACACTGCCAGTAGTTAATTTCCTGCAGCCCCTTGGTTAACATTCGAGTCATCTATGAGGCGTGCAACGATGTGTTGGCACAGGATCTAAGCTGGGACACATGTAGCTTTGGTCGTACGGGGTAGCGCAGCTTCCCAGCTTGCACAGCTGAATCAGCAAGGGCCAGGTAGGCAGAAACGAAGCCATCCTGAAATAGATCAGGCCCCCTTCAAAGAACAAGCGTTCAATTGGTTGAGTTTGCATTCTGGCTAAGGCTCGCCCAAGGCTTGCATTTGCGTCGCCTGGCCGGGGCTGAGGTAGAGCTGGCAGCTCTCGCAGACCGCGTGCCACTGCGACAGGTGCCACCTGGGCAGAGTAACCACCCTGCGAGTTTCAAGGGTCAAGGCCACTCAGAAGTATATGATGTTTCAACTTGTCCGCAAGCGACAATGCAGAAGCGATAAGCCCCAAATTCTGATCTGCAGGGCCCTTCTCATTCGCAAGCTCCAGTGTGACTTCGGAAAGCCATGCGCAGACTATTCGAGCCTTGGATGTCAGAAACGCTAGTGCGTACAATGCCTCATTCAAATCAAGGAATTGCATAGTTTGCACCCAAGAAGCGTTAAATGCTTTTGCTTGCAATGTTGGATACGGCGAATGGTGGACTCGCAACTTGGCAGGCGTAAACTTCGGCTGCGACTGCCTCCGGCAAGTGCAAGAGAGTTTGTTGAAATCATGGATGGCTATTTGCTTGAGGCCAACTTCTTATAACAGCTAAAGGCGCGTGATCTTGTTTCTCCGACACCAGGCCAAATATTCTTCGTGAGCAATGCATAGGCGAGTCGTTGTGGATAGCCCTACACCTCCCCAAATGTTGTAGTCCCCTTCCAACAACTCCTCAAACACACCGCCCTCCAGCACCAACCCCACTCCGAGATTTATCACGTGCATTGAGCACCATTTCACCATTTGTGGTGAAAACGATGGAAGATCCGCTAGAGGGCCTTAAATGCGAGTCAAACAGATTCAGAGATGTCTCAAACCATCATGTGATATGCGCCACCTGTCAAAAATGCCAGGGGGCTAACTGGCCTTTTGCAGCACTCAGAAACGAAGCTGTCTCGGGTGTCTTGGCGTGGTATCCCTGCTAGCACGGCCGAAATATTGGCATAGTCCTCCTTCTTTGCGTCACAATGGAAACACATGGAACGGGAGTTCCAAGATCTCTGCAAGTTCAGCCACTCCTTGCGACAAAGGTCTACGGCCAATCATGACGCACGGGCCATGAATACAGTGCCCATCATGCGACTCAAGCTAAACTCCTTCTGAAATTTCCAGTCCCCTTGAATATGGCAAACCATCGCGTGGATGTCACCTTCTTCGCCTTGTCCAATTGGGACCCCTGAGTTCAGCAGCTTCAACGATTCGACAACCTTGGCTCGCAGGCGTCACGATGCAGGACGGGGCAGGGTGAAGGTGGTCTGAGCATGCAGTAAAGGGGCAGGCTGCAAAAACGCTTGCAGTGTAGGAAACCCCACACTGCATTCCTAGGCCAACGGTCAATCGTGGACATTGGGTTGCCCTGGACTTATGATTAATTGCGATGCTATTTTTGGTTGCCAAGGATCCGCCCTGTATACAAAAAGAGGCCAGCAGCATTCCCAGGACAAAGTTCTGGTGTCCAGTATCGCCCCCATGCATACCACAACCAGCTTTTGGCCCAACTCATTGTAAACGCAGTCATCACCCCACAACCAGCATGGATGGGCAAGAGGTTCGGAAGATGTCCGGGCATAGCTGCAGCCCACATCCCTCAAATGTTGCCAGAACTGTTTTACTTCATCTTCTGTGATTTCTGGGAAGACCCTGGATCTCACCAGCCATGGTAGGAGACGATGGGGAAGTACGACAGGCATTTTCCTGCACAATGAACTTGCTAACAAGCAAGTACATTGCAACAAACACGCCTGATTTCAGTACCGTTCACCCCTCGCTCTTTCTGGATGGGAACTTCCACCTCATCAATCGGAACCTCATGAAACACAACGACTCGCGATTTCTCAGGTTTAAAAACATGGCAGCTGAGGGGCCTGATCCGCGTTGTTTGATAGAACTTGTCTCATCATGTCCCTTTGGATGTTGCTTGAGTGGAGGCCTGATCTTCCAGCAGTCTTGAGTTTGGCGCATGGACCTCGAAGGCGAACGCCATGGAACCTGAACTCCTGGAGCACCAGCCCAGTGAAAGATCCGGGGCCCAACGACAATGTGGCATTAAACCCTGCCTTGGCCACCGCATGAAGGAAATCCCGGGAAGATTGGAAGGATTGATACTCAGCAAGCGTCATGTCAGTGGCGCTGCACGTGTGTGTGTGCCCAAATTCCAAATTCAGAAGTGGACAGTTCTTGTTGCGGCCAAGGGCTCTCCAAGGCCAGTCCTTTCCAGAAGGTACGAGTAGAGAGGCGATGTCTTCTCTTGGGACAGGTTCCGGGCACCTGCGCACGGAACCACAACACAAACTAATTTCGGTGTCGAATCGACCAGATGCTGCGGCATGCGCGGATCTTTTGCGCCGGCGGCTTCCAACACGTTCACGGTGTATTCATGATTGAATACTGGAACTCCCCTGGTTGCATGATCAGCCCGTTCACTGGCCCGGAAGCCCATAAACCAGGTCCGAACAGTTGCGCGCTTGCCAAACTCGTTTTCTGAAGTGGCCATGGGCTCGCTAGTGGGCAGTGAGCAGGATCCAAAACTATATAGTCGCTGGAAAACCAACGAGCGCCATGTGTTCAAACTTGAGATGCAGCATCAGGCCCACGGTTGGAATCTAGAGGATTTCACAACACAATTTAATTTGAAAACATGCTGTTACTAGAAGCCGGGGCCCCTCCACACCCAGTGCCGGAGGACCACTCATGGTCGATCAGCTCATGCAGCAGCCTTTGCTTTGGGCTTAGCCTTCGGCTTCGGCGGTGCCTGAGCTAGCCAAAAAAACGAGGCTTGACCCCCGACACAAAACAGGGAAGGGGTTTGGGATGGGGCTAGAATACATGTCTTCCCCAAATTTTGAGTCCCTGGAAATGAGGTCCACCCAGTTTAAAGGTCCCAAGACTTGCAATGTGACTAAGGAGGCGAGGTCCACACAAACAAGGAAGCTTGTAGTGTTGAAAAAGCACGCAGCTTGATTTTGCCACCATATTTTGGTTAGAGTGCGATGGCAACCTTGATAGTCTTCAGGGAACCTGCCAGCTTGTCAGCAGCCGAGTCTGCACTCCTGAGAGCCACATAGTATTCGTCCCTGCGAACTTGGCATTTGTTGATCTCATCCTCATCGATTTTGGCGTAGAGTGTCTCAAGCCGGGTCTTGCATTCTTCAAGAGCCTTCTTGCATATATCAAGCTCAGAGTTGTAGCCACCCATCAGCTCAGGAGACCTGCTGATTGTTTCAGCTAGCGTTGATTGGGTCACTCAGTATTTAAATGACCTTCCACGTGAAGAAAACAAAATTTTGGATCCGTTGCTTTCAAGGGGCAATGAGGAGGTCTGTAGTTTGGTGTTCCAGCTCATGATGTCGGTGAGTTTGCTGCTGAGCGCCTGAATCTTGCCAGACACCAACTTCGACCATGTAGCGGGCTTTGGCTTTCGCTTGGCAGTCTTGCCATCGTCACCTGCGGATCCAGGTGCCTGGTTCACGCTCGGCGCGGGGCCCTGTGGGACCACTGCCGTTGACGAAGAGCCGTCACGCAGCCTTGACACGCCGAAAGCAGGCCTCCGACCAGGTTCAAACGGCAGGTGTTGGAGTCTTAAATATTTTTGAGAAATGCATTTTCGAGGTCTTGAAAACCACCTGTTAGTAACTTTATGTCAGGGAGCAGGATCTCAGCTGTTTGCTGCGCATCCAGGGAGCCAGAAGCGTTGATGCCACTCTCAATCTTGTCGACTTCTTTGTCCACATACTCCAAGCTGTCGAACACCCTGAACAGTTCCATCTCCTTTCGTTTTTCGACGAAGGTGGGTTGGCCCCCCTCGAACAAACAGGGTTGGGTTAAAACCAAAACGTGTCCTGGCTCTGCGGGAAGTCAGGATGAGGCATGCACCAGGGCTGCTCGTCCGGCTTACGTTTCTCCTCCA